TCTTTTTTTTTTTTTTTAAGATTTTATTTATTTGAAAGAGAGCAAGAGATCGAGCTCGTGAGTATGAGCGGAGGGGGAGGGGAAAAGGGAGAGGTGGTCAGTGGGGGAATAAAAGGATGAATCCACTCAGAGTTCGATAAGAAAGAAGAGTGCAAGGGACTTTTCAAGGGTCAGTGGGGAAATAAAAGGATGAATCCACTCAGAGTTCGATAAGAAAGAAAAGTATTCCAATTAATATAATGAATGGTTTCAAATGTGAGATAACATTTAAGCAGGTGCTTAAAAAGAAGTGGGATTTATGGAGACAGGAGTGAGAGGCAGCGACATTTTAAAGAAAGAGAACGGCATGAGTTAAGGGCAGCAAGTAGACAGTTCCCAGGATGTATGGGGAACAAAGATTATTCCTGTAGAATATAGGGTGCTGGAGGGCGGCAAGTAGAAAATAAAGCTGTAAGGCCAAATCATGAAGGCCTTGAATGCTAGGGAATTGGATTTTAATTAGTAGGGAATGAGAACTCTAAATAACTCAAAATAGAAATGCAATTAGTCTGGAAATATTAAGTTACCACACCAAATCTGGGAGAAACATCAGATCACTCAACAGTAAGCTCCAGTTTCTAAAAAACAGTTCCATTTCAGATCAAATAGTAATTCTATGAAAAATTTTGTAGTATGTTCAATCACCAAAGCACATCTATGTTTAAAAAGACAGCCAATGGGGCACCTGGGTGGCTCAGTTGGTTAAGCATCTGTCTTCAGCTCAGGTCATGATCCCAGGGTCCTGGGATCGAGCCCCACATGGGGCTCTCTGCTCAGCAGAGAGTTTGCTTCTCCCTCTCTCTCTGCCGCCCTCTGCCTCCCACTGCCTGCCACTCTGCCTGCTTGTGCTCTCTCTCTCTGTCAAATAAATAACATCTTAAACAATAAAATAAAATAAAATAAAATAAAATAAAATAAAATAAAATAAAATAAAATAAAATAAAATAAAAAAATAAAAAGACAGCCCAAAGTAGTTAGGCCCATAATTTAAATAAACTTTTTAAAAGAACCACAGAATTAACAGTCAGTGTGGATTTCCCACAGGTTTTAAGTGTAGAAATATATGCATATTTTTCTAAAGTATAATATTAGATTTTTCTCAAGGATTATAATGGTGTGACCTAGGCTGGGCAGAAGGAAAACTATGTTGAATGGATGAATATAAAGATTTTTAAAAGTAATAAAAGCAAGGAAGGGACTGGTGCCTTTCAGATGCTCTCAGTTAGTTCCTAAGCTGTGGGTCTTGAATTCGTAAAGGTGACAATAAAGGGGAAGTGGCAGTGGATGACAGCACATAATTTGTGGTTGCAGAGATGATTTCGAGCATCTATAATATAGCCTGCACCACTGAACAGAGGAGAGGGTGTCAAGTTAAGCAGGTCTGAATTTAAAAGCTGGTTTTGTGATCTTGAATACATTTATTTTTCTGTAATTCATTTTCTTAATCTACAAAATGAGGATAACAAATATTTACAGAAGAGGATTAGAAGAGTATAGGAAAGTACCTGATGAATATTCAATAAATGATAGCTCTTAAAGAAAAATTTAACACTTACTAAGATCCTACTGTATGCCTGCCACTGTGATTCTGTGGTTTTTAATCTTTGTCAGACTTTGGAGAGAAGTAAATTCTACTTAGAAAGGTGATCAAGGAGCAACTCAAAGTATTTCTCTCTCCCAGTTAGGAAATGTCCTTTGGAGAGGCAAGCCATCTTCACACTTTAGTGCAATCAGTTCCTTACTCAAAGTTGCTGGGTTTTCTTGGAAGTGGAAGAAGGCAGTCTGAGTTAGAAACTTTATGAGGGCACTCAGTATGACAGGAAGGTGTGAAAGAAGAGGAAAAGGAGGGAGAGAAACCACAAAACAAACAATGCCTCTAATTTGAACTAGAGCTTTAGAAGGGATTTTTGTGTCCCCTGAGAATCTCTGAGGAAGATAATTGAGGCATCAGTATCAAGACTTGTGCCAAAATCAGATTCCTCCCTTTCATCCTGGTCTCACCAGTTCCCGGTGGTAATATTCCCTTTCAGTGCCATATACAAGATAAGAAAGAGAATGAGAAGATATGTAGGTAGGACTACTCTGTTCACCTCCTCTATTCTCTTTTTTCTTTTTTTTTTTTTTTTAAGATTTTATTTATTTGAAAGAGAGCAAGAGATCGAGCTCGTGAGTATGAGCGGAGGGGGAGGGGAAAAGGGAGAGGTAGACGCACGCAGAGCGTGGAGCTTGTGGGGGCTCAATCCTAGGACGCTAGAGATTATTATTTGAGCTGAAGTCAAATGCTTAACCCCTGAGCTACCCAGGCACCCCTCTCCATCTCATCTTAACTCTCAGGGAAACTCTGGTGAGCTTTTTATATTCACTGATCTTGTTAAGAGGCAGTCCTCACTTCTCAACCCCCCACAACCATAAAAATGCTAAGTGACTTAAGGATTTTTTTTTAAATCAATTTTGTAGCCATTCAGTCGGGTTGGTCCTAGTAAATCAGATTTTCTCTACTTCCAATATCCTCAGCTCAATTTAGGCAGTGAAGATCCGGCCCTAAATTTTGGCGACCCAACCCCCAACCTTAACATTTCACAGGCTGCAGAGCTGCGTAAAGCGGAGACTGCCAATTTTGGATTCTGGGATTTCCAGGACATCAGGGAAAACAACTGAGAGGTCTACCCAGGGGTGAATTCCACAGATAGTTTCTTCTCTCTGGGGTCAGTGCTTTAACATCTGGGTAGTCAGATCGTGCAGACACGGTCACTAAGCGCGGAAAACAGCTGGGCACGTTGCTCTGAGCCCAGACCGACCGTGACCAGTAGTTCTTTGAAACCGTTTCTGGAAATACCAACTCCAAAAGGCGCGCAGCGTTTGAGTGCTGATAAGGCAAGCTGAATTTAGAATTTGGGGGCCAAGTCTCACTTTTGCGAATTCCTTTTACTTTTGGTTAAGTTTTTTAACATTGGATTTACCCGGGGTAGAGAAGGTATACGGTGGCAACGTCACGCAGCTGGAAAAATAATTGCACTCACATACTCCCCAGATTCTGCACAAACAGGTTTGGAAGAGAAAACTTAGGAAGTCCAAGTTCAGCATTAAAATAAATGACTCGCCACCAAAGATTAACGAGCACTTCCCTCTCGGTTTACTCTTCGGACGCACCTCGCGCTTAGCGCGCCTGCGCCCGCCAAACTACAACCCCGCCTCCTCTTTGGGGACGTAAAACGTGAGCCGAGAGGCGGGACGCGGGCTGAGCATGCGCCCTCATTGCATCAGCCGCTGGGTCTGTGCTGGCGGCTGGTACGTCGGAGAAGATTGTGTTTGCTGCAGTGTACCTCGCGGGGGTCTGGCGCGGTGTGCCGGGAGACTAAGAAAAGAAGGGCTAGAGTAAGTGTTCCCCTGGGCCGCTTGAGTCGGAGCTAGAGTATTTCCTTCCTGCCAGGCAAGTGCCCGTAGGAACCGGACCCCGCCCCCTTCCCGGCCTAGACTCTCTTTCCCCTCCCTGTCCCTTTCCCACTGGGGATCTTTTCGTTTCCTCTTGTTCTGCCTGCGAACCCCCGCCGAGGTCATGAAGCTCGTGAGAAAGGACATTGAGAAAGACAATGCGGGCCAGGTGACTCTAGTCCCCGAAGAACCTGAGGATATGTGGCACACCTACAATCTAGTGCAGGTGGGCGACAGCTTGCGTGCCTCCACCATCCGCAAGGTACAGACCGAGTCCTCCACGGGCAGCGTAGGAAGCAACCGGGTCCGCACTACTCTCACTCTCTGCGTGGAGGCCATTGATTTTGACTCTCAAGCCTGCCAGCTGCGGGTTAAGGGGACCAACATCCAAGAGAATGAGTATGTCAAGATGGGGGCTTACCACACCATTGAGCTGGAGCCCAACCGCCAGTTCACTTTGGCCAAGAAACAGTGGGACAGTGTGGTTCTGGAGCGCATCGAGCAGGCCTGTGACCCAGCCTGGAGTGCAGATGTGGCGGCTGTGGTGATGCAGGAAGGCCTCGCCCATATCTGCTTAGTCACTCCCAGCATGACCCTCACTCGGGCCAAGGTGGAGGTGAACATCCCTAGAAAACGGAAAGGCAACTGTTCCCAACATGATCGGGCTTTGGAGCGGTTCTATGAACAGGTGGTCCAGGCTATACAGCGCCACATAAACTTTGATGTTGTGAAGTGCGTCCTGGTGGCCAGCCCAGGATTTGTGAGGGAGCAGTTCTGCGACTACATGTTTCAACAAGCAGTGAAGACCGACAACAAAGTGCTCCTGGAAAACCGGTCCAAGTTCCTTCAGGTAAAAGTCTTCTCCAAGGATAATTAAGATTGGGCAGAGGGATTTGTATAAACTACTCTTAAATTTTGGAACCGGGAAAAGTACGAGGGGAGAAAGTGTTCACTGGACTGTGATTGTAAGTTAGATAATGAAATGAAAAGAGAGTTGTTAAATAGACTGTTTACATAGTAAACTTTGCTTAAGTCCTCAAACATATAAAGCCATATTTGTGCTTTTGGCTTTAGGTCACTGCAGGCTGATTAATGGGTACTCTAAGAGATTCTTTTGTCTAACTTTCATAATTATGATTCTAGGTACATGCCTCCTCTGGACACAAGTACTCCCTGAAAGAGGCCCTTTGTGACCCTTCTGTAGCTAGCCGCCTTTCAGACACTAAAGCTGCGGGGGAAGTAAAAGCCTTGGATGACTTCTATAAAATGTTACAACATGAACCTGACCGAGCGTTCTATGGACTCAAGCAGGTGGAGAAGGCCAATGAGGCTATGGCAATTGACACACTGCTTATCAGCGATGAGCTTTTCAGGCACCAGGATGTCGCTACACGAAGCCGGTATGTGAAGCTGGTGGACAGTGTGAAAGAGAATGCAGGCACGGTTAGGATATTCTCTAGTCTTCATGTATCAGGGGAACAGCTCAGTCAGTTGACTGGAGTAGCTGCCATTCTCCGCTTCCCTGTCCCTGAACTCTCTGACCAAGAGGATGATTCCAGTTCTGAAGAAGATTAATGATTGGACCTTATAACTGATAAAAGCTGTGTCTCCATTGTTACATTTTCTTAGCATCCTGACAGAAAGCTGCAAGGCACCTTGTGATTCTTACAGGGATTTCTCATGTATTTGGCCACACTAGGTATTTTGTGATTGGCAGGACATGTGTTCAAACTAAGCAATAAATTAAAAGGAAATAATCGCCATGTACTACCATTTTTATTAATTAGAATAATTTATGTAGAAGTTATGAGTTATTTGCAATACTTAAAAATACTTTGTATATATAAGAATGCCTATATATTCTTTGGGATAGATCATAAAATCCCAGTGTCATACTTTGGAATAAGTTTTCCTTAGGAAAAGCTATTTAATATTTCATTATCCTCAGTTTACATTGTTTATTTTAATTATGCATAGTGTTCTTGTACGGGATTTAATGATCCCTTTCCTCCATTTCCTCTACACTTTTTTTTTTAATTTGCTATTTTAAGTGATGGCCAAATAATTTGTAGACTTTTCTAGAAGACAAATTTAAAATGGTATTTTTCTTAAGAGACTTGTTAAATCAGTCATGTTACAAGTAAACTCTTGGTGGGTTTTTGTTTGTTTCGCCTTGTTTTACAGTTAATCATACTTGCTTTGGAGGACCACTTCATCAGTTATTTTTAGATCATAGAGTTTTGATCTGCTAGGGATTCTCAAGATAAGTTATTTGAGGTATCTTTATTTTTTTTAAATGCAATTAAGGTGTGTGATTTGCTTGTTACGTGGCTAATTAGTGCTAAAGCTGAAAAGTAGTCCCTGCTCTGGGCTCCATTTCTTTGCACTGCCACACTAATTATGTATTTATTTGGCTTATCCTAGATATATGTAGTGCTATCTTATATTTCTATGTGGCATTAGTCTGTGCTTGCACATTCTTATTGGACTCTCTCTCTCTACATCCTATTTTAGGGGGTGAAAGGCCTGTTCAGAAAGTTTGATTAAGTCACATCATTAGTAGTATGTGGTAGTTGACTTGTACTCCAGTAGTCTACTGTAATGAGGGAGTTTCTGCTAATACCTGAGATTTTAAAATATTTTCATTAAGTATTTTGGATGTGCATTTTAAGAGTTCGGGAGGGATCCTTGGAATGGACTTGCATCCTGACCTTTTACAAACCTCAATTTAGCAAAATAATTAGGAAAGGCATTATGAAGAAAGAGTGGTAATTAAGTTTGTAACACATTGGTACTTACTTCAAATACAGATACTAAGTAAACTTTTGCTGTCCTTTCTGTGTCTAGGCTTTTCTCCTGGGACAAGTGCCAGGTCTGGGGATTATTTTTTTATAAACTTCTAACTAAGCTGAGTTTATTTTAATCTATAATTAGGAATAGACACTTCCTGGGCGCCTGGGTGGCTCAGTCGTTAAGCATCTGCCTTCGGCTCGAGTCATGGTCCCAGGGTCCTGGGATCGAGCCCTGCATCGGGCTCCCTGCTTGGCGGGAAGCCTGCTTCTCCCTCTCCCACTACCCAGCTTGTGTTCCCTCTCTTGCTGTGTCTCTTTCTGTCAAATAAATAAATAAAATCTTAAAAAAAAAAAAAAAGGCATAGACACTTGCATATACTTTAAAATCACATTTCTACATATCTACCTCCTAATCTAAAAATAATTTAGATTGTCATTTTATTGTAAGTCCATAGATATTTAAAATACTATGAAAAGCATGTTATTAAATCATTTGGTAGGTGGATAGAAATGAAACTGCTAAGATTCTTAACGTTAGAACCTGATTGATAATGACTCATATTATCAGTAAGAATTTGGAGACTTGGGGCAGATAGTACTCTCATAATCTATGCAGTACTGGTTAATCCTAGCTCTGTTACCTACTGTATTAGAAACAAGGAGAAATGAAACCTACCCATAAATCTGACCAATACATTTTAGGTCATAGGTTCTCAAATTTAGCTGCTTATTAGCCTGAACTTGGGAGCTTTTAAACTCGTTACCATGACTGGATCCCAGACTCAATAACCTTTCACCCCTAGAAATGGTTTTTTATAGCTCTCCAGGTGATTCCATTAGGTATCAAGACTTAGAACCAATGATTCAGGCCTTGCTGTTCAGAAGTGTGGTCCATGGATAACCAGCAGACTATGGACCAAGACCCTGAGAGCTTGTTAGAAACCAGAATCCTGGACCTTCTGAGTTTCAGTCTGTATTTTAACAACATCTCCAGTTGATTACTATGCATAATAAAAACTGATAAACATAGGCAATAGTTTATTCTCCCTGTACCAGTAAAAATCTCTGGCTGGGGTTGCCAGCCATAGAGAAGAACATTTGAGTCTCAAGGTTGATTTCAAGAGCGTTAATTGGCCAGTATTCAGCTTAACTATCTATAAAACTTCTCGAAATAAAAGCGTATTTTTTTTTGTCTATAAAGTACTTAAAATATCTTCAAGAATTCCTATTTTTAAAAAGTTACATTCGGGGGTGCCTGGGTGGCTCAGCTCAGGTTTTGAGATGGAGCCCTGCACTGGGCATGGAGCCTGCTTAAGATTTTAAAGTTTAAAGTTTAAAAGTTTTAAAAGATTTAAAGTTACATTCTGTACCATTGTCAAGAGTATTAATCTTCATATATGTATAGGGTGAAATACCAAAATAGTGATAGCATATAAAATTTAAAAATTAATTTTTTTTACTATTCTCTAAAAATCAAAATGAACCATAAGTCTTTGGAAATCGTATTCAGTAGTCTAATTCATTACTATGAATGTCTAATTTAACTTCTGTTCATTAATAAGGAACAGTTTGGTTACAAATGGAAACACCTCTCAAGGCAATGTTGTACTGTAAATGTCCATTTACCATGAGGTACTTGTAAACAAAGATTTGCTACCCTCCCCCGCCCCTGCAGTATAATAAATGAGAAGCTGACAGATTGTTTCATTTTACTCTAGGTATGAAATATATCAAGTTTATTTTGCTAATAGGTCCCCCATTTATATGTTAAGTATTTTGCTAGCTTTATGTCTGGATTGTTGATTCTGGATTTCATTTCATTTCACTCTTCTATACAAGTTGGATCTTTTTCCACCCAAATGCCACTATAGTAGCTTTGTAAAACTAATTTTCCTTTATCTCTACCTATTTTCTGTCATTAACTTTATTTTCCTTTTTTAATCCCTGTGACCAGTTCTCTTAACCTCAAAATATCTTTAACAGAAGTGATTCATATTTTTTGCAATTCATGTATTCTGGAACTGAAATTTCCTTCATTGCTAAAAATAAAAGTACACAGATGAATGGTGTATATGTGAGTTCCCCAAAGTAAAAGCTGTTACTGGGGAAAGGAGTATTGTGCTTTTAAATCAGATAGTTTTCCAAGCAAATAAGATTGGATATTTGTGTTCAGTATCAGAATATGTTGAATTGCATGTTGAATAGGTGTTTCTAAGGTGATTCTGAGTGTTTGAGGAGAAAGAAACCCTTTGCCTGTGTCCAGATCCTAGAAATGGGGCATCTGTATTTATATTATACCCATTATTAAAGGTGATACATTTAGTTTTATCCATTTGGTTTTTAGTGCCTACTTTGATCCAAGCACTGAGCTGGGTTTAGGAAAGACAAACATATAAACAAATCACTGTTAAAAAAGCAACTTGTAGAAAGTGTAAGAGAGCACAGTGTTGGAAGGGGTCACTTTTAGGAGGAACTTGATAGAGCTGGAGCCAGTAAATTTACCTAAAATGGTGAGAAGAACCCCAGAGAGGTTATTGGGAAAAGGAGAGGGGCAGGGTAAGTATGCTAATCACATTAGACCCTCCATGCCACAATAAAGAGTGGTTTGACAATAATAAGAAACTACTGAAAAGTTTAAGCAGGAGAATGGCATGTTTGCATTTCACAAATATAACTGTTCAGCAGTATCAAGGATGAATTGGAGGAGGCAAGAAGACTGGCTAAGAGAATGCATATTAGAAAAACCCTGGGGAAAAGCAATGTTGGCTTGAACAAGGGTAATAACAATAATCCTTGCAACAAGAATAAAAAGAAGTCAATAGGCAATATGAAGAGATAGGATCAAAAGGACATAGGCTGCAGATTGTTGTTCAGTTAAAGAGTAGATCATAGGGGTAAGTCTCAGATTTTTTTTTTTTAATGTGGGAGAGATGATGGCACAATTCAAAAAGCAAAACAAAATAAATCCAGGAAATATAGGAAGAGAAGCTGGCTTGCAAGGAAAAACAGTAAGTTCAGTTTTGAATCTTTAAGGGTATCTGGGTGGCTCAGTCAGTTAAGCATCCAACTCTTGATTTTGGCTCAGTCATGATCTCAGGTTGTGAGATTGAACTCCAAGTTCAGCTCCATACTAGGCATGGAGCCTGCTTAAGATTCTTTCTCCCCCCTCTGCTCTTCCCTGCCCCCCTCCCAACACTCTCTCTCAAAAAAACTGAGGATGCCTGTAGGACATGTGAAATGCTCTTCCACCAGATTTCTATATGCTCACTTACACTCTTAAGGTTTTTGCTAAAAGTTCACCTCAGTAAGTTCTAAGCCAGTCTTAAAAAAAGATAACTTCTCCAAGATTTCTTTCCAAGCCCTTCTTTGTCTTAGTTTTCTCTATAATGCTTATTTCATTTAGTTGTTTTGCTTATCATCTGTCTAGAATGTAAACTCCATGAGGGCAGACTATTGTATGTTAGGTTCATTGCTATATCCTTAATGCTAAGAACACTGGCACACAGTAGATGCTCAAAATATTGGGGGGTGGGGGGGGTAATGAATGAATGAGTGAATTCATTCAGTCCCTTAGTTAAGAAGGTCCCTTAGTTAATTGAGCACACAGGCCTGAAGTTCAAGAAAAAGCAGTTGGCTGAGGTTAATGATACAAGAATTGTCAGCATATAAGTAAACCTGAAATCAGAGAGAGAAAGAAAGGAAAAAAAAAAATGGCCTAGCAAGAATTAGTAAAGCTAGGGAAAAAGGCCAGACACAGAAGCATAGGGAAACAGATAATCTCTTTAAATGTTCCTTGACTCCATTACCAAAGTCCTTTAAAGTAGAGATATTTCTATGTTTCAATAATTAATATGGTCAGATAATTATTTTTTCCCCTACAGAGCTCTTTAATGTTCTAGAGATATACAAGTAGAAGAGCCAAAGTGCCAAAGTGTTGATTACATAGAAGTTGAGTTTTAAAAGTTCCTAAGATAAAAAAATTTCTAAATTTGAGGGCAAAAGCCAAATTACTTTTGTATATGGGTTTTAAGTGAGTCTTAATATGCATATATATTTGCAAATTTAGTATATGAAAGTTCCAATTAAAAAAAGGATATAGTAGGGGTGATAATTGAACTTATTAAGAGACTTTTTCAGGATTTCCATAGCACAGGAATTATTAGCAAGTTCTGTCTCATTCAGGCCAGGTTTACAGCAGTATTACTGCAATTGGACCCTTAACTCTTGGGCTCCCTGTCCGTGGCATCTTTGATTTCCCTCAGCACACTTCTACTCCCTGCAGAACCACAAGTGTCACAACTGTGGCATGGATTTTGCAATGTTTTATTTATATTTATTTTAAAAATTGATTTTGGTCAGCCCATAATTTTGTTTATATACATTTTTCGGTAAATGAGTTTCCAAGTAGCAATTTTAGTGAGGACTTAAAAAGAATCACAACTTCAGATAAAGTTTTCAAAACCTCTAAATAGTTGTCTTCATACTGATGTGTCAGCATCTTTAAGGTTTATGCAGAGGTTCAGTTTATGTATTCTAGGAGATGTAGTATTTTAGACAAGCGCTAGTCAAGATTTTCTTAATGCATTATGTGCACTGCTGATCAACTGGCAGTTTAGTAGAAGTTTAGCGCAGAAATGTTACTGAAAAGTCCTAATGATTTCTAAGGGAGTTTGAGATGGGAATATAATACTTGTGTGTATTAATGATGCCTTATTTAGAAAAGATTCAAAAGTCAGCAATGCAGTTGGTTAAGATATTGGGCAGTAAGATCCATAATAATGGTCTTGGAATTTAGCAAGAACAATCGGAGTAGTTACTTAATGTAGTCATCAAGTAACAGGTAAATTTCACTAAAAATGAAAAATAAATTGGCCAAATTCAATAAGGAGCTAGTTAGATTAGGAAAACTATAAAAAGCATTGACAAAAGATACTTGTTAAGCTGAAGTAGAGATGATAAAATCTCATTTGTCCTTTTTCTTTATATAGCAAGAATTCTTCCTTTCTAGGGAGTGTTTGATTTAGTATCACCATCTGTATTCTCA